ACTACCTTCAGAACCCTGAGGCTCTCGTTGGATTCCAGCCCTCTGCTGATTTTGAAGGCTCCCTCATTGCCGATGTCATTGCCGTTGACATCCAGGTAGACCAGGGTGCTGTTGAGTCTGAGGGTCTCCCCTAAAGCCGAAGCCCCTTCATTCCCAAAGCCATTCATGGAGAGATCCAGTTTCTTCAGGGTCACGTTCGCCTCCATGGAGAGGGAGAACAGCACCAGTGTCAAGGTCGCCTGTGACTCAGCCAGCCAAGTGGGCCCAGATTTCTGTCCCCTGCTGCTACCAGGACCTGGTGCTCAGTGGTTCCCAGGAGAGACAGAGCTGTCGGATTGTTCCAGTCCCTCCCTTCTGGGCTCAGCGTCTCAAGTATTATTAACTTTTTATTAATAATTTTTTGCTTCTGGTCATTCCCTACCCACTAATGCAACTGCCCTCTTGAAGTGTCCCCAAAGATTCCACCCAGGCGTCAGCAGGTAGGATTTATACTAGAAAATAACTCACATCCAGAAATTGTGAGAGGGAGACTAATGCACAAAGCTTTTGATAAGAGCCGAGCGTGCCCTCATCCACAGTTATCATGAGGGAGAGGTTCGAGACGGCCGGCAGGAGGCCCCCCATCCTTACCAGGGAGCGCCTTACCCGCAGGCCGTTGCACAAGGCCACAGCTCCCTGTGTGTGGATGTGGTTCCAGCTCAGATCCAGCGCTGTCAGTCCTACATTGAGGGCTGGAGAGGAGGGCGTCAGCTCGGCCTCCCCCACACCTCGAATAACGCAGTCTCAGAGTTAGATATCCACAGGCTCACTGCCCAGCAATGAAGAGTAAAACCCTCAGATCATAACTTGTCGGCTTAGCCATTTACCCAGTGTTGAAGATGATCCACAGCACTGGCTTAGATGTGGGGAACTAACCTGCCGTCTATATGCCTACAACTCCCAAATGTACCCCTCCAGTCCTGACCGCTTCGCCAAGCTCTAAACTCATAGACGGAACCACTTGGCTGGGTCTCCACCCCGGTGTTGACGGCTACCACAAACTTGGAATGGCCAAAATGGAGTCCTTGACTCCTCCCTCCTGCCCTCCAGAGTGTTAGCCTGTGTTTCCCCATCTAAATGATGCCATCACCCGGCAGGGGTTGAAGCGAAGTGACCACGAGGCTCTCTCTCCCTTTCCGTCATGCTTCATATTGGCAAGTCCTTTCGGCTTTCACCCAACATAGAGCTGAATCCATCCACACTTCTCTGTCCCCACCTCCTGCCCGAGCTCAAGCTGTCACCCTGCCTTGCCGAGACTAGCACAACAGTCTCCTAACTGGCCTGACGTGATGTGGCCAGGGGCCACTTCTCCCACCTCTCTGCCTCCCACTCTCCTCCCTTGTCTTCTCCATGTCCCTCAGACACACTAAGCTCTGTTTTATCTGCCCAAAGGTCTCTCAAACTTGGTGCTTAGTTATTCAGGTCTCAGCAAGCATCCACCTTCCCTGGGGGCCTTGCTCTCCCCACCCCGTCTAAATTAGCACCCCTTTCCCACCAGCTGACAGGGTGTGTGTACTCGCTAGAGACAGAGAGAGAGAGAGAGAAAGTGAGAAGTCGCCCCCCAGAAGAGATGGCCACGCTGCAATCGCTTCTCCTCCGTCTCTTAAGTGGCCACATCATTCACATGATTTAGACTTCATTCTGATCTCACCACTTGCTAGCTATGTGACCTTGGGTAGCAAGATTTTCAAGTCACTGGGCCCAGGACACGAACAGTGCAGCTGGTAATGTGGGATCCAGCGCCGTAACCTCCACACCGCCTGCCAGCCCCTCCTTATTTTTAAAGAGGGTGACCTTTTGAGTTGTTTTTGTTTCTCTCTCTCTCTCTCTTTTTGGTATGTGCTAGCTGCAGAGAGAGAAAGAAAGCTCCCCAAAGAGAGGATGACCACGTCGCAATCCTTTCTCCTCCACTCTCCTTGCGGGATTTTGGGTAAGCACATTCACGTGCCCAGTGCGCTTTCTAAGCTGCCGAGTCTGGGACCTGAACCATGCTGTCAACCCATGTGGGATCCAGCCGCCTTAACCACTATGCCGCTGGGTGGCCCCTGTGATTTTCCCCTTTCCCAGCAATGCCATAACCTCCTCAGACTCTCCCTGTGTATGTGGGAGCGCTTCTCTGAGACACTCCACGGGAATTGCTGTGGACAGACTGTGCACGTTTCCAGCCTCACCAGTACTGCCAGGTCGCTCCTCACAGTGCTCTGCCCAGCAGCCAGTGAGGCCTCTTATTCCTCTCCGCCGCCTACGGCATTTGCTATCCTACCCACTGACTTTAAACTTTTGTAGCCTTGGTAGATGATGGAAAATGTTTTCACTGTTTTCCCGTGCAATCCTCTAATTACTAAAGAGGTTGGGCACTTGGCTTTTTTCTTTTGCTGACCATATGAGTTGGCCATTGTTTTATTGGGGATAATATCATTGTCTAATTGATGATAATAGTCTTTTATCAATATTCTGAGCACTAACTTTTTTCTTTTTGTATTTTATTTAACTCTATTTACGTAGTTATTTATTTCAATTTGACCACAGAGGGACAGAGTGAGAGAGACAGAGAGGGAAAGTGAGAAAGCAAGCTGCCAGGTCTGGGACTTGAACCACTGTCGGCCATGTGGTAGTCTGGTGCCCTTAACCACTGCACCACCTGCCAGCTCCTCTTTTTGTTTGTTTTATAATTGAAGGCACATGCACTTGCAGGGAGATAGAGAAACAGAGAGGGAGAAAGAGCCCTGCCTGTGGGGGTGGTCATTTTCCAATCCTTTCTCCTCCATTTTTCTGACCTTTTGGTATTTTGGGCACACACACACATGCCCAGCATGTTCTGCAAACCACGGGGCCAGGATTCAAACCACAATCTGCCATGTGGGGTCTGTCTCCCTTAACCACTAGGCTTCAGGGCCAGCCCCCAACACTTACCTTTTATATTATACAAATGCTGCACATATCTGCTCCCTGTCTATGGCTTGTCTTTTATGGTTGTCCTTGGTGTGTAACTTTTATCAGACCCATATTTTAAATATTGTCAAATATATATATATATATATATATATATATATAGCTGTTTTTGTGACAGTTTATGCTTACCGTGCCCCGGTTAATGATCCTCAGCCTTCTCAAGGTCGGGGAGTTATTTTTCTGTGCGTTTTAGTTACCGCTTCCCACGCCCAGGTGTCTGGCTCACCTGGGATGTGTTTTGGGCCTGGGCCACATCCTTTTTCTACTCACCCAGCATCTGGCCCAGCTGCTCTCCTCCCAGGTCAGAGAACTGGTTGTGACTGAGATCCAGCCTCTTAAGTCGATAGTTAGCCTGGGGAAACAAACAGTGGGAAGAGGTTATTTTTGCCTTGGGACTGCAAATATCTCACTTTTCTGAGTGGTATGATGAGGCACGAACCCCGAGTTACAGGGGCTAGGGTTGTTAGAATGAAGACAATCTCTTTCTTTCTTCCTCCCTCCCTCCCTTTCTTCCTGCTTTCCTTTCTCTCCCTCTTCCTTTTTTTCCTTTCTCTTTCTCTCTTTCTTTTCTTTTCTTTTTCTTTCTCTTTCTTTCTTCTTCTTTCTTTTTTCCTTCCTTCCTTCCTCCCTCTCTTCCTCTCTTTTTCTTTTTCTTTCTTTCTCTCTTTCTTTCTTTCTTTCTTTCTTTCGTCCAGTGAGTCCCTGGGCAGAATTCCTGGCTGGATTTGTTTTCTGTTTTCACAGACCTCTTCATGGAAATGAAATAACTTTCAGTATTTCCTTTTTTTAAAAAATATAAGGTTTTATTATAGGATGCATGTGCTTGCTAGAGTCAGAGAGAGGGAAAGTGAGAAACCTTGACAGCCGGTGGGGGATAGCCATACTGCAGTCCCTTCTCCATTATCCTCTTGGGGTCTCTGGCACACACACATACACACACACACACACACACGTTTGAGAGGTTTTTCTTGCGCTGCTGTGCCCAGGACTTGAACTGCACAGTTGGCCATAACTACCATGCCAACAGCTGGACCCAATTAATTTTTCTTAAAGTATGACTTAAATTATTTAATCCTTTTTAAAAAAGGTTTATTAATTTCTTCTGAGAGAGAGAGACCTTTAACAGGGTCTTCACACCATGATCTTCCCCAGCCTTGGCTGACCAGGATAACAGGCAGGCCCTATGAGTGCCCAATGTCTACAGGAGGTCTTGGGATGGAAACCCAGGACCTTCCCATGAGGGTCCAGTCATGTTACTACTGCGTCACCACCTGGCTCTGAAGGCAATTTCTTTTTTTTTCTTTTTTCTTTTTTTTTGAGAGGTTTTTGCTACAGGGCATGTGCGCTCACCAGACAGAGAGAGAGAGAGACAGAGAGACAGAAAGCGAGAAATCACCCCCTAGGGGGGATGGCCACGCCGCAATCCCTTCTCCTCCATTTTCCTCTTGGGATCTTGGGCACGCACGCACATGCCCCCAGTGTGAGTTTTAAGCCACGGGGTCCAGGACTTGAACCGCAGTCGACATAGCCATTATGCTAACTGCTGGTCCCTGAAGGTGTTTTCTTATTCATTTTAGGTTTAACTGTTGGTGGCTACCGGGAGAATTTAGTGCTATCCAAGCCACCCTAGTGTATGCTATGGCTTTTGCTGAGGCTGGTAGAGTCCAAACCAGTCACCAGTTCCCTAAACCACGTATGTGAGCCCCCTTCCCTATGCCCATCAGTCTCTAGGTGGCCCAGATCTCCTGGAGCAGGCCCCCATGTGGCCTGGCTGCACCCCCACTTCTTACCGACAAGGCTTGGCTGAGTAGCGTTGCGGATTCTTCCTTGAAGCTGTTTCCTGTAGTGAGGGCAGTGTGTAAGCAGAGCGCTCCAAGCCCCGGCTCCCCTTATCCTCCCACAGCCTAGCTGCTGGCCCACTTCCCTTTGAAACAATCAGACATAGACAAGGTAGCCCGGGGGGCCAGGAGGTGGTGTGGGGATTAAGACACTGGACTCCTACAAGGCTAACCACGGTCCCAGAACTGGCAGCTTGCTTTCTCACTTTCCCTCTCTGATGAGCACATTTGCCCTATAGCAAATTTCTAAAAATAACTTACAATAAATAAAGAGTAGTATGTACTTGAGCAGATACATGGACATGACTGAGTAGGAGAAAGGCAACCACCTACCATCTGCTTTAGCCCTCCTTCTCTCTACCATGACCATCTGGAAAGTTCCACGCCCTGTGCATCTCCCAGCTGCAGTGCCCCTACCTGGTACCCAGAGCCTGTGACATTGTAAAAAATGCTGACCCAAGACCAAGCAGCAGGGCTAGGACCACGGTGAGACAAGGGTGTCATTTGCCTGGGTACACAATTTAATAGACACAAAAAACGCAGTAATCAAGAGGAATAATTTTTTTCTGTAGGGCACATGTGCTCACCAGAGAGAGAGAGAGAAAGTGAGAAAGTATCCCCTGGGTTGATGGCCATGCCACAATCCCTTCTCCTCCATTCTGCTCTTGGGATTTGGAGCACATACCCACACGTACCCAGAGTGTTTCTCAAGCCACTGGGTCTAGGACTTGAACCGTGTAGCTGGCCACATGGGATCTAGCCACCTTAGCCACCACGCTTGCCACCAGCTAACCCCCAGCCTTTTTTATTTTTGCTATAGGGCATGTGTGCTCGCCAGAGACAGACAAACAGAGAGAGAACACCCTCCGGGGATGAGGGGTATAGCCACGCTACGATCCCTTCTCCTCTACTCTCTTCTAGGGATTTGGGGCGCATAGGTGCACACGCCCAGCGTGTCTCTCAAGCCACCAACCCCAGGACTCAAACTGCACAGCTGTGTGGGATTCAGTTGCCTTAACCTCCATGCTACTGCTGGCCCTAAATAATATTTCTTTTAATAAACGTTTTTATTGCCAGAGGATGTGTGTGCTCACTAGAGAGAGAGTGAGAAAGTATCCCTCCAATGGGGTGTGATCTTGCTGCAACATTTCCCCCTCCTTTTCTCCTTCCTGCTGGGATCTGGGCATGTGCATGCATGGGCTGGCATGTATTTGAATCCTCTGAGGCTGGCACTCAAACTGTGGCTGGCCATGTAGATCAGGCCACACAGCTGGCCTAAAATAAATACTATCTTAATATAATATTTATTTTTAAAAATTAATGCATTTAGGGGAACCAGCAGTTAGTGTAATGGCTATGTCGCTGGACTCCCATGTAGTCGACCGCGGTTCACGTCCTGGACCCGGTAGCTTAAAACTCACGCCGGGCGCGTGTGCGTGCGTGCCCAAGATCCCGAGAGGAGAATGGAGGAGAAGGGATTGTGGTGTGACCATCCCCTCTGGGGGGTGATTTCTCGCTTTCTGTCTCTATGCCTCTCTCTATCTGTCTGGCGAGCGCACACGCCCTATAGCGAAAATCTTTCTCAAAAAAAAAAAATTAATGCATTTATTTAAATTTGACCAGAAAGGGACAGAGTGAGAAAGAGAGAGGGAAAGTGAGAAAGCAAGCTGCCAGGTCTGGGACTTGAACCGTAGTCAGCCATGTGGGAGTCCAGAACCCCTAACCACCATACCACCCACCAGCCTCTTAATACACTATTTCTAAAAATAAAAATGAATGCAAAATCATACACTGAAAAAGTTTCAAAAGTTTAAAGAAACATAGGATCTGACCCTACACTCTCATGACAAGGCCTTATTGACTTCGTCCGATTATTTTTTTTTAAATAATTATTTAATTTATCTATATTTTTGTTTTTGTTTTAATTTGAGAGAGACAGAGAGAGAGAGAAAGTGAGAAAGCAAGCCACCAGGTCCGGGACTTGAACCACTGTCAGTCATGTGGGAGTCCAGCACCTTAACCGACCATGCCACCTGCCAACCCTCTCCATCCTATTCTATCCCTGTTGGGTGCTCCTGTACTTCATCATAAATTCTGATATTTTGTTTATCATGGATGTGTTCACTTTTATATTGATTTTGAAAAAGACTGCATTTCGATCTTCTTTACTTGGTTACTGAGTTTTTTGGCACCCCTTATGCTGCGATCAACACAAGTACCCTACTCATCTTTGCCCTACTCAACAGTCTAAGTGAAGCAATGGCAAGTTCTGGGGAATGTACGACACAGAGCCTTAGCCCTAAATTTCTCTTTGGAACCCTTACTACTCTTGGTATATCTGACACCTTCATTGTGCTTGCACTTAACAGTGCTTAATCAATACTTACTGAGTGAATGAATGACTAAGTGAATGCCTTCACAAAACAGAAATACTTGTTTGACTGTGTTTGGCAGCAGGGCCATAAAATGAGGTAATAAACTAGCCCGTACATAAAATTAGATGATAAATGATTAAAGTCCTCACGTTCCCATCGGTGGTTAGTACATAGTCTGCTGCAAGAGGATCACCTGGGAAATTCGATAAAACACAGATTCCCAGTTCTTTTCTTCTAAAGAGGCTTATCCAGCAGCCAGGAATAGAGCTGGGCCATTTGTATTTTTACAAAGAGCTTTCTCTATGATGTTACCATTATGGTAGGGGTCTTAACCAGTCCAACCAGAAAAATCATTAGGAGCTGTAAATATTGGAAAAGCAGAGCTCGGATTTCTATTATTTGCATATATGTATCCAAGGAAGTTAACTAAGAAAATGTTAGAAGAAATGAGATAACCCAGGGCTAGCAGGTGGCGTAGTGATTGAGGAACTGGACTCCCATGTGGTCAACCACAGCTCAAGTCCCAGACTTGGCAGCTTGCTTTCTCACTTTCTCTCTCTCTGGCGAGCACATGTACCCTATAGCAAACTGAAAAATAACAATCAAAAATAACAATCATAATAAATAAAATAAATAGGGACCAGCAGTTGGCATAATGGCTATGTCGCTGGACTCCCATGTAGTTGACTGTGGTTTGAATCCCAGATCTGGTGGCTTAAACTCACGGTGAGTGTGCGTGCGTGCCCAAGATCCCAAGAGGAAAATGGAGGAGAAGGGACTGCGGTGTGGTCATCCCTCCTGGGGGGTGATTTCCACTTTCTGTCTCTCTGTCTCTCTCTGTCTTTCTGACAAGCACACGAACCCTATAGAAAAAACTCTCAGAAAAAAATAATTCTAAAAAAAGTAATGAGATAATCCAATAAAGTGATTGAATGTAGGATCAATGTATAGAAATGAATCGCTTTCAGATGCACCATTGACAACCAACTAGAAAATGTGGTAGAAAAAACATTCTGGGGGCCAGCAGGTGGCATGGTGGTTAAGATGGCCAGCAGGTAGCATGGTGGTTAAAGTGCTGGACTCCCATGTGGCTGACTATGGTTTGAGTCCTGGACCTAGAGGCTTGAAAATCACTGGGCATATGTGTGTTGGTGCTCAGGATCACAAGAGGAGAATGGAGGAGAAGGGATTGCAGTGTGGCCATCCTGTTGACAGTTGATTTCTCACTTTCTTTCTCTCTCTCTGTCTTTAGTGAGCACACATACTCTATAGCAAAACAAACAAACAAAAAGTTCAGGAGTCTTTAGTGGGACTTTATCTGTGGGAATCCCAAGTAGCCGGGATCAGGGTTTGTCCCTCCTGAGGGGCTGAGTCTTATCAGCAGGGCTACATTTCAGGTTAATTTTATGGCTTAGAGTTTCCCGGACCTTAAGAGTGTATAAATTCAAACCACAAACCAAAGTGAGACAGGTCTGTGGGCACTAAAATTCTCAACTGACCTATTTTTTCCATGTGGGAGACAAATAATAAGATAATTAAAAAATTAGGCATACAATAGGAGGATGCCATGAAGAAAAACCAAGTCAGGGAACAGGCAGAGAGTGATGGAAGTGGAGAGACGCTGTTTCTTTTTTCTTTTCTTTCTTTCTTTCTCTCTCTTTCTTTTTTTAATTCAGGTTTTTGCCATAGGGCTTGTGTGTTACTCACCAGAGAGAGACAGAGAGAGAAAGCGAAAAATCACCCCCAGGGGCTATGGCCACGCCACAATCCCTTCTCCATTCTCCTCTCGGGATGTTGGGCACGCATGCACACGCACCTGGTGTGAGTTTTAAATGACCTAGTCCAGGACTCAAATCGCAGTTGGCCACGTGGGAGTCCAGAGCCCTAACTACCACGCCACCTGTTGGCCCCCGAGAGGTGCCGTTCCAATAGAGTAGTCAGGGAAGTTCGTTCGAGGAGATGACATGTGAGTGGAGACACGGGGAACCAGGTAAGCCACACAGATATCTGAAGGCAGAGACTTTCGAGTGGAGGGAAGATGTTGCAAAGTGGATCAGAACCAGCTTGTTGAGGTAAGCAGGAAGTCCAGGGGGCTGTGGTGGGGAGGATGCCAGGAAAGGTTTAGCAGGAGGTGGAAGCAATATGCTGGTTGTTGAGACCAGATCTGTTCAGGTGGGACCTGGATGCCCTCTGCTTTCTCCCTTCTTCCCTCTAATTCCCAAGGTCCTCTCCCTCCCCTTCCATAGGCTCACCTGAAAGTGTAAGATTCCAGAGGGCAGAGATGTTTCTCTGGAGGAACTCTGAGATGATCCTGGCTCCCTCCAAACCAAGCTCATTTTCAGAAATATCCTAAAAGGCAAGAAAACATGGGTATGTGAACATCCCCCAGAGGGCCCTCGTTAACAAATGATGTCCAGGTGGGGCGGGCTAGAGGCCTGCATTGAGGGAGCAGGATTGGGGTTGGGAGGGGGGTCGGGTGTTAGAGGACTGGGATAATGCAGAGATCTAGTTTCTTTTTTTTCTCTTTCTCTCTCTCTCTCTCTTTATTTTTTAAGCTTTTTGCCATAGCGCTCATGCCCTTGCTGGAGAGAGACAGATAGAGAAAGAGGGAAAGTGAGAAGTCACCCCCCCCAAGGGGAAGGGCCATGCTGCAGTACTTTCTCCTCCAGTCTCCTCTCAGGATTTTGGGCACCGACACACACGTGCCCACTATGATTTTCAAGTAGTCAGGTCTGAGACTCAAACCATGGTTGACCAGGTGGGAATCCAGCCCCTTAACCACCACCACGCCACTTTCTGGCTCCTCTTTTTCTTTTTTCACTTTGCCAAAGGGCACATGTACTTGCCAGTGACACAGAGAGACAGAGAGAGACACACAGAGAGAGAGAGAGAAATCCCTTTCCCCACAGCTGCCCTCACCAGGGAATGTCACATTACAATCCCTTCTCCACTTCTCCCCAGGGACTGTCACATTACAATCCCTTCTCCACTTCTCCCTCTTTGGGAAGTTTAGGCACACCGCATGCGTGCACCCAGTGAGTTTTTCAAGGCGCCAGGTCAGGACTCGAACTGCATGGTGGATCACATGGGATCTAGCTTCCTTAACCAGCAGTCTACTTGGCTTTATTATTTTCCTTTTTCTTTTAGAGAGATTTTTGTTATAGGGCAGGTGTGCTTGCCAGAGAGACAGAGAAAGAAAGAGATGGAAACCGAGAAATCATCTCCCAAGGGGGAAGGCCACGCCACAATTCCTTCTCCTCCATTCTCCTCTCGAGATCTTGGGCACGCACATGTGAGCCTGGAGTGAGTTTTAAGCTACTGAGTCTGGGACTCGAGTCCCAGTCGACTAGGTGGGAGTCCAGTGACTTAACCACTACGCTATCTGCTGGTCCCGACCCCACCTGGCTTTTCCCCAATGCCTCTCTATGAGACCCTTGCACTGGTCTCAGTTTCCTCTGAGGTTGGTTCCCATGATGCCTACGTTCCCTACTTAGTCCTGGAACTTTAGCACGTTATTTTGTTTGTTTTGAACCAAAGAGCTTCATTTGGACAGTTTTGCAGGAACCATTGAGTTCAAATTAGGAGTGTAAATTCCATTCAGTGATCCACGAAGTATGAATCGCTGTGCTAGAGAAAAGCGAAACTGGGCTGTGCATTTCTGGCTCATGAGAGAGACTTCATGCAAACTAGCCATTATTATCTTAATTGCTGCTGCCTTTGTGTGTGTGTGATAAACTATACAGCATCTACCATCCTAGCCATTTTCAAGTGTTCAATTCAGTGGTATTAAGTACATTCACACTGTGCAGCTACTATTACCAACATCTGCAGGCGTATTGCATTTCTCTCTCTCTCTCTCTTTAGGTGTTTATTAAGGTATGTGTGCTCACCAGAGAGAGACAGAGAGACACAGAGACAGAAGAAGTGAGAAATTACTCTCTAGAAGGGATGGCCTTCTCTGTTCTCCTAGGATTTGGGTACACACACACACACACGCCTGGAGTGATTTACAAGCCATCAAGTTGGGGACCCGAACTGGTCAGCCACGTGGAAATCCAGTGCCTTAACCACCACAACACCTGCTGACCCTGGGCACATTGTGTTTTATGGAATTATTTTATATATATATATATTTTTTTTTCTCCGTTATCCTCTCAGGACTTTAGGCACACATGCACACACGCCCAGTGTGAGTTTTAAGCTGCCAGGTCCAGAACTCGAACTGTGGGAGACTATGTGGGAGTCCAGCAACGTAACCATTTTACCATCTGCTGGCGTAATGGTTTTTTAAAGCGTATTTTATATCTTTCATGAGGGAGTGCAAAGAGAGGAGGAGCACTCTGAGCAGGGTCTTGTCATGGCGTGACCCCCTCTGCCCAGTCCCAGTTGGTCAGGATCTCGGGCATGTGCATGACTGGCATGTTTCAGGTAAGGCCGGGACCTGGACCCATGGCTGCCACGGGGCTTCCGACACTACAGATCAGCATGTTGCCTGTGTCACCAAGGCTGGGCCTTGGAATGTGCTTTAAGAAAGTTCAGTTTTGGGAACAGCAGGTGGCGTGGTGGTTAAGGCGCTGGGTGCTCCCACGTGGCTGACCACGGTTCGAGTCCTGGACCTCGAGGCTTGCTCTCTCAGTTTCTCTTTCTCTCTCTTTCTGTGTATCTCTCTAGTCAAATTAAAAATGAAGGAATGAATAAATAAAGTTAAATAAATAATTAAAAAAAAAAGTTCAGTTTGAGGCAACCACGTGGAGGTATGATTGTCCATTAGGGGCTGTAAGGTGCAGACAGAAGTGGTTTCTTAGGGTTTCTACACTCACAGGGAACACAGTCTCTGAAAGTCTTGTCTAGAGGAGAGGAACCCACAGGCTGACTGCAGAGAGGCAGGAGGCTGCCCTTGGCTTGGACAGAGCTGTCTGAGTCCCAGCGCAGGGGGACGGCGGGAGGCCGTGGGAGGGCACAGTACCAGCTCCTGCAGGTAGTAGTTCTCCTGTAGCATCTCCACCAGGCTCAGGACACCCTCTTCCATGATGCAGTTATCTTCCAGCTCCAGTTTGGTAATCGCCGTGTTGGACTTCGTCATCACAGAGGGAGGGGAAGAAAGACACAGAGTGGTTGGTGACCTAGTCAGCTCCCTGCCTGCCCTGGCCCAGGGGCCCCCATCCCACATCAAAGGGTTCAGAGGTGCAGGCTGGGAATTCCAAAGGCAAGGAAAGGATCAGTAGAACAGAAGGATGAGCCGTCTGCCTGGGTTTTGCTAGGACAATACACTTGTCCTGGGAGAATTTAGAAGCGGGTCATTAAAACAATTAAAGCCCTGGATAGTCAAAGACACATGGGTGAGCTAAACAAATTTTAACTCTTCTTTATTTTAAAAAAAGAATGATTTAATTTTATTTACTATATATTTACTGTATTATTAATTTTTTCTTTTTAATGAGACAGAAAGAGAAAGAGAGGGAAGGTGAGAAAGCAACTCTCCAGGCCCAGGGCTTGAACTGCAGTTGGCCACATGCAAGTCCAGTGCCTTAACTACCATGCCAACTGCTGGCTACAAGATTGTAATTTCTTTAGTCCCAGCAAGACAATACCGTTACTTACTATAAGATTAAGGGAGGGACCAGCAGATGGCATAATGGCTATGTGGTTTGACTCCCACAGTGGATCAGAGCTTGAGTCCCAGACCCAGCAGTTTAAAATTCATGCCAGGTCCGTATGCGTGCATGCCCAAAATCATGAGAGGAGAATGAACGAGAAGGGATTGCTGCGTGGCCATCTCCCCTGGGGGGTGATTTCTCACTTTCTGTTTCTCTGGCGAGTGCACATGCCCTATAGCAAAAAAACTCTCAAGAAAAAAAGATTAAGGGAATACTTAGGATATTTAAGGATTAAGGAATGAATAAGAATATTTAAACATATATTTTATTTTTGCACAGAGTTCTTCTAAAGCATTTATTTTGCTTTTTGCTTTCTTCAGAGTTCTAGTTTCTTGTTTAGGTTTAAATCTTTTTTTTTTTTTTCCTCTTTTCCATTTTTTGCTGTAGAGTACATGCCCTCGCTGGGGGGAGAGATTGAGGGAAAATGATTAAGTACTCCTGGAGGGATGACCACACCGTAATCCCTTTTCTTCCATTCTCCTCTTAGATTTTGGACACTGCTGTGTTTTTCAAGTCACCAAGACTGGGACCCAAACTGACGAGTTGGCTGTTTGGGATCCAGCACCTTAACTACACTACTGGCTGGCCCCGGTACTCCCTTTTATTCAGAGACTGGCTCAAGTGTGTTTGGAAGGAGTTGGACTTAAGCCTGGTAAATAGCTACCTCCAAGCTCGTCTCCAATCCCATTTGGAGCAAGAGGAGAGGAGAGAACCTTCACGGCAGCATGGCGGACTGAGATGAGCTCTAACCAGAGCTTTTGTTCTCTTCTCCCTCGCCTCATCCAGGCAAGCAAGCACAGAGAATGCACGCCAAGGGAGTTTAGCGTTTCCGAAGCCCACCAAGCAGCGAGACCAGGAGCAAGTGGGAAAGAACTTCAGTGCCTGTCTTCCCTAAGAAATAGACAGTGAGAGTCCAAGCTGTGCACTGCGGGATGGCTTCAGGGAATGTTTGTGGTTCCAACTCTTGTGGGAGGAGAGGCTGGGGGCGCATTCATTCATGCTCGAAGGCTGGGGAGATGGCTCCAGTGGCTTCCCAGGCTAGCTGCTATTTAGCAGTGCCCAGAAACTTAAGGTGAATGAGCACTTCCAGAGTCTCAGTGGGTGCCTGCCTATTGTCACACAGAGCAAGAAACCCAATCACCAAATCCACCTACGTTCATTTCACATGGGTCAAGGTCTATCTGTCACTCTCTGTGCTCACTGCTGGGGAGCCTGGGGTGAACGCAGCTCCCCACCACCTCCCCGCAACCCTGCCAAGTGCAAGGGCAGCTAGGTGGCCGAGGGACAGACACGGCATGAAATCAGATCCCTAATATCGGGTCCTCTTCATCTAAGTCAGGGAAACACAAACATGTGAAAAGTTAAATAGTACAAAAAGCAAACAAAAGCACAGTCCGCTGGCATGGCACAATGACTAACTGTCAAATGAATGATACAGAGAATCCGAGAAGAACAAAACTCTCCCCAAACGGAAAATGCTGTTACCAAGAAACAAGTGATCTAAGCCCCGAGAGGATTTCATTATGATCCATTACTTTCCCAGGAAGCTCCCGAGGTAATGGTGCGTTCCTAACACTTCATTCATCAGTCTTTCAACCCTCAGTAAGTTTCAGGATGGCTTTGTTCTTTGCGCCTCCGAAAACACAGTACAATCTCACACGTCATGTAGCTTCTTAATGGGCATATGCTAAATGCAAACGCTGTTGTGCTTTCAAAAGGCGATGAGCATGTCACGAGGAGAGGTGAAGGCAAATAAGACCCTGTATTCCACGAAGCCATCTGGGGGCCAGGAACTCAAAATGGACAGCACACATTCTCATTCCCTGAGAAACTTACGTTCTAATAATGATTACATTCCAGCAATGAGCAATGACAGCGTGTTTCAAGGCTTTTTGGAGAGTGCCGTGTATTTTGTAATTGAATAGGTATCAAGGCCCAGAAGTGCCTTTCTCATTCATCGTCCTCTCAGACTTCTGCCTCATTGAACCTGGCTGACTCAATCTTCCAGAAATGTCTGTTGTCTCTATCCAGCTTCTCCTATCTCTCAATCACTCACTCTCTATCAAATTCACTGGCTGCTTCTTCCGGATCTTTCATAAATAACATGTTTCAAAAATTCTTTTTTGATTTCTCTTTGTTTTCCTCTGTTTGTTCTTTTCATAGGCAATCTAAGTATTACTGATTTTATTTATGTACTTAATTTTAATTTGTGTATATACTCAACAGAGAAAGACAGGGAGAGGGAAAAAGAGAGGGGAAGTGAGAAAGCACCCCCTAAGAGGGATGACCATGCCACGGGCCCTTCTCCTTCACTCTCCCCTTTGAACGTTGGGCATGTGCACACACATTCCTGGCATGGTTTTCAGGCTCCCAGTTCTGGCACTTGACCCATGTGGGATCCAGGGACTTTAATCACCATGCCACCTGGATGGCCCAGTATTACTGATTTTAAAATAACACCTCTAAAGATATAGCTACCTCTCCTACTTACACAGATTTTCAAAAATTGAACTTTCTTTTTACCTTCCTAAGTGAACAGTGCTGTGCAGGTCCTAGCTGTTTTTCTTTCTTTCTTTTTTTTTTTTTTTTTTTAAAGAATTATTTAACTTACTTTTATTATTATTATTATTTTCCAGTTTGGTCAGACAGAGAGCGAGAGAGCGATAAAGAAAACCACCTGTTCCAGGACTTACACTGTGGCCGTGTGGGAGTCCCGGGCCTTTAACCACTGTGTCACCTGCTGGCCCCTCTTTTTAGTTTTTTTTTTTTTTTTTCTCTCTTTTTTTTTGGAGAGGTTTTTGCAATAGGGCATGTGCACTCACCAGAAAGACAGAGAGAGACAGAAAATGAGAAATCACCCCCCGGGGGGGATGGCCACATGCAATCTTTTCTCTTCCATTCTCCTTTTGGGATCTTGGGCACGCACACACATGCGCCCAGCGTGAGTTTAAGCCACTGGGTCCAGGACTTGAACTGCGGTCAACTACACCGGAGTCCAGCAACATAGCCATTCTGCTAACTGCTGGTCCCTCTTTTTAATTATTTTTAAGAGAGGTTTTTGTCATAGGGCATGTGTACTTGCTGGAGAGATAGAGACAGAGAGAGACAGAAAGAAAGAGAGAAAACGCCCCCTAGTTGGGATAGCCACATTACAATCCCTTCTCCATTCTGCTTACGGGATCTTCGGGCACATGTGCACATGTGCTTGGCATGAGTTTTAGCCACTGGGTCAGGAACTTGAGCTGTGGTTGGCCATGTGGGAGTCCAGAGACGTAGCCACTACTCCATCTGCTGGTCCCCCCTGTTGTTTTTCTTTAATGGGAATCAATTTTGTACATAACCAGTCATAATTATAGTCATGTACTGCCCAATGACATTTTGGTCAATCACGGATTGTGAATACGGTAGTGGTTCTGTAACGCCATACCATAAAGTCTAGGTGCACAGACGTTGAATGGAACAGCTCAGCAGTGAACCCATTTATAGCAAAGGAGACTCTGGGATGGAGACCCATGCTGCCATTTTGCTTAGGATTCTTACATTAATTCAGGGGTCCCCAATTTCCAAGTCAAGGACCGGTATTGGTTCACGGCCTATTAGGAGCCTGGCTGCTCAGAGGTGAGGGGCAGGTGAGCGGGTGAAGCTTCAGGTGCTCTCCATCACTCTCACTACTGCCTGAGCTCTGTCTCCCACCAGGTCAGCAAAGGCATTATATTCTCATCAGAGCATGGACCCTGTTGTAAACTGCACGTGCAAAGGATCTAGATTGCATGCTCTCATGAACCTCCCTACCTCACCCCATCCATGGAAAAATTGCTCTCCATGAAACTGGTGCCAAAAAGGTTGCAGACTGCTGCACTAACACGGGCCCAAGCCCATTCCTGGTGCCTTTGCTTCCTGAATAGGGAAGAACATAGACCTCTAAGGCCTGGGTCTCTAGCGACCCCCTTCCGAGGGCTGAAGGAGAGTCTATGCCCGTTGGGGAAATCAACTTGCAGTGAAGCTGAGCCTAGGGTGGGGTGGACAGAAAGGCTACTATTTAGGCTCCACAGGAGAGGACCTCTGAATCTCAGGCCTGCCTCCCTGTCACCCTGCCACCTCCACCAGGGTTCGTGTGCCCCCCACCCTCCGCCCCTGGTATGCTCACCACCAGGGCGATGGCAATAGCCTTGGTACCCCGGGGGCCCAGCCCGTGGTGGTTGAGATTCATGTGGGAATCCTCCATGTTCCGAATGAAGTAAGAGACAGGGACTACTCCCATCAGTTTACAGGCCTCCAGGTACAGGTCCTTCTGTCCGGTGGTGAAAAATTTCTCATTATCTGCAGAGAAACACAGGATGGAGCAAGGGTTCTCTTCTGTACCTGTCTTACCTCTCCTTTAGCCCCAGGTGACGTCTGCTTCCACCTGGACTCCCCCTCTGCCATAGGACCTGTCCCTGTGGGAATGTGCTCTAGAAAGTTCCAATCAGGGAAGCCAGCTGGTGGTGAAAGAGGGAGACCCTAACTTCAGAAAAACCTCCAATGGACATCTTCCTTTGGTAAGAGATAAGGCCCACGCATTGGTGTTAAGACCCACGCATTCCCAGGAGAAGTGAGCAGGGAGCCCTCATCAACCTTCCCAAGTTGGCCAAGGCCAATGACTGATCATCCAGGATATTCCAAGGCCCAGCCCTCTTGCCCTCTTCGGGACAACTCAAAAAGGCCAAAACTAGTAGCTAAAAAGCAAGTGACTTGATAGGTGAGGGTGTCTCCATTTCACTGATCAAATGTGAGCCATGGTTAGAGGTTTACCAATGATGTAGAGAAGAGGAGGAGGACAGAGAGGGGTTCTTAGGATGGCAAGTCAGTGCAAGGTGGGACGGCCTCCCATCCCCAAACTTGCCTTGGGGTGGGCTCTCTTCTTTCAAACACTTGCATGGCATCTTTCTTCACTGAAAGGGCTGGCTCTGCAGTTTTACCAATGACAAACTTGGCCCCCAGTCGCACATAGCTGATCAGTGCTAAAACCAGATAACAGAAGGGGGAACTCCACCTTCTCCATCCCAATCCCCAGGGCATTTATTCCTTAGGCTTTGGACCAGCCCAGCCTGTGGTCATGGACGTTGGCCTTCCTGGACTCTGGTGCCCACAGCTGTGTCCTCATCAGGCAAGTCCAGGCTAGGGCAGGGCTGCCTGTGGCCAGCTGGCATCTAAGTCTACATCTGTTTTTCCTTCAGATCCCAGGGCCTTTGGCCAACCCACACCAGACATTTCTAAAGCAGACAAGGAGGGCTTTGTTGGTGAAATGACAACATCCTTATAGGAAACTGATTTTGCAAGCACGGCTACAAATGGGCCTTCTCTTTGGGAAGGTCGCACAGCAGGGGTTCTCTGTCTTGGCACCCTGGCATTTGAGCTGTCTGTTGAGCTCTGTTGTGAGAGGCTCTTTTGTATGCAGTAGGAGGTTTAGCAAGATCCCTGGCCTGTGCTCATGAGATGCCAGTAGGAAGCCCCATCCCTGCCCAATGTCCCCTGGGGTACAACATTGCCTCCAGGTGAGAACTTCTGTTCTGT